AATGCAGTTATTTATATAAAATTAAATAAAATTGTCAAACCGTAAAATATTGAATAATATGTGTTTGATTTTAAGCCATGAGCAAGTATAGAGAATCGTAAACAACTGTTAGCATTCTACCTAGTTGTTGCTTTGCTTGAGAAGCTCATTTGAATTTGTGGAAACGTAATCGAACGAAAACTAAAAATAAAATAAAATATGTTTTAGTGAAGTGTTAGTCAAAGGCAACCGGAACAGCATTCAGAGTTCGTCGGAGCTCGACTTTGGCTAATATATCATATTCAGTTATTTCGCTGGCATTGAACTTGGTCAAGCCGTAGACCCTGACATGCATTTCAGGCCTTAAATAATGTAAGAGGTGTCACTGCATGGAGTGAGGAGTGAGGAGTGTGTGGAGTGAGGAGTGTGTGGAGTGTAGAGCGTGTAAACTGGAGTTACTCTAAAGTGCCGAATGGCATGGCATGCATGCATTGCATAACTTGCGGCCATCGAATTTATTTAATCTGTGTTAAATTGTATAAATCCGATATGCTTATATAGACAGCCAGAGAGTCACGTGAAGCCTCGCGACAACTAATTTACATGCCTCAATGCATTCCACTGCGCACGAGCGACGGGCTGCTGCTTGAACTGCTGCTGCTGCTGCTGCTGCTGCTGCTGCTGCTGCTGCTGCTGCTGGCTGTATTGCGCAATCTGTAATCCGTAGGCCTAGTTGTTGTCACTTATTTGCATGGTGATAGTCTGCAATTAATCGCCAGCGAAATTAACAGTTGTATTTGTCCCGCCGAGCCAACTGAACGTAATTCATCATGTTCATCGTTGCCGTTGATCAGCTGACGACTGTTGGCACAATTGTTTGCCTGTTCGTTTGTTTGTCTGTTTGCCTGTTTGCCGAAGTTACAGTTACTTTTGCCCGGCATTACGTGCACGCTATAAACAATACGTAAATATGCAGCTGCAGCGCATACAAAGCGTCTAGCTTCTTATCAATCTGTCGTGAGGCTCTGCCCTGTGTGTCAATAGATCTGTTATTATATATAACGAGCCCTATTTTCGTATCTATTGCCATAAATCTCTTTCGATTCGCTCGCTATCCTAGGAAGAGTCTGATAATAATGGTGTGAATCTCGCTTGACTATATTCAATTTTCGCCTGCTGTTAAGCATGAGAAATGCAATTAGCTGCACGCCAACTGTAATTAAATGTGTAATTCGAATACAGTTAAAAACTCACATTTAATTGTTATTCAATATGTATATATATATCTATAATTTGTGCCACTCTCTAAATTATATGCCCCGCGCACAACGTGTCGTATGAGCAACGCAATTTGACCGCATGAAAGTTGCGCATACGTAAAAACTAAAGACAGAAATAAACAGACGCTGCTTCAATACTCTTAAATGTCGTTGCCGAGTTTGCTCGAGATTCACTTAAGTGAGTCAGAGAATAAGTATAAGTACGCGGGAAGATATCCTGATTGCTCTGACGTGCTCTTCAGGCATGGATCTCATCCGGTTTTGGAGCCATTCTTATCTCTGTATTCTAAAAATATTTCTGTACATCAAATTGAACAGCTGAAGAGCGTAAAATGAACCTACATAATTCGAGTTTCATATACATTTTAAATATTTTAATGGAAAAGCGAAAGTAAGGACCTAGCAATAAAACTCAGTCTCTAATATAATATGATATTCAAGTATGTTAGACCAGATAGATGGACAGTAATATACCAATATATATATATTTATGTATATACTTTAGGGACTCTTCCAGGCCATCAGCTACTGGTTGCATATAAGTACTTAACCAATATTATAATCTCCTCACTTTCCATCTTCAATGGCCATTCAGAAGCAAGCAAGGTATTCCACACTTCTTTATCGAGCGATTCGCTCATGACTTGTATTACTTATATGCATGACAGACAACATGTATATTGTTGATATTTTGTTTATAAATACTTATTTGTTTTATACAAACGAGTTTCATATCAATAAACTTAAGTTTTCCAAGAACAGCTTATTGATATATCTGATCAAACTGATTCTGCGACTTCTACAGCGTAAGCAATAATTGTCTTCATTGAACGAGCTCTCATAATTCGCATAATGATTCACAGTGGGTAAAAAACAGCATGATGCCCTCCGATAGTGTATAGAGAGCTAACAATTGACTCAATGCGGTTGTGATTGGAAGTACTCATAAGGTTAATAAAAAACACACCTTTCTAGAGATCCGCACGATGCATATTCATGTACGTACGATCATCAAGCTGTGCGATCGAACTGAAAGTATTCAAAAAGTATTTCAGCAATGCCATTATAAGGGTTAATAACTTGAGAAGCAGTTAACAATGATTCGCATCATTCAATCTGCCTAAATTGTTTGTTATATAACTTGTTTTATTTCTCTTGTTTTGCATCCGTTTTGATTGACATACACAAATCTCAACTGGTTTCCTATCAAATCAAATATTTGTGCATTAGACAGCGCTACCTGTTCAGCTTGTTCTACAGAGATTTCCCTTTGCATACCCTGGAGAGGTTGTGGGTGTCTAGAAGGCTAGGTTGCTTTGCCTAGAGTGTTTAAGGATGAGAGTAGAGAGAGAGAGAGAGAACTTAATGTTGCTGAAGCAGGAGAAATCTCTCTCCTAATGCCTCCAAAGGGAAAGCAGTATCTCAGCTGATCAATGAGGCTTCTACAGTCTTGACTCTCTGTTTATATTTATACATTCGAAATTCAAATATCTCTAGACGTTTCTCACAGCATTCAGAGGTGCGAGTCTCTAGTTGTCTTGTGAGCGGAAGTTCGAGTTTTGTCCCTGGGTACAGGGTAACCAGCAGTCGGTCACTTCCGACCTTAAGCACTCAATTTATTAATTATTTGTATTGGTGATGTTTTTTGCATTGATTCATTTCCATATTGTATCGAAATTTGAGCCATAACTTTGCAAATTTCCTGATATGGCTCGATTATGAGAGAAAAGCGTATTTTATATTCGCCATGATATAATCAGCAGTGTTTTGGTGTTTGTTTATATACGCTTTTGTTTTGTGCCTGTCATTCGTGTGGAAAGATTTCTCATCTCTGGCTGGAGCACAAATCTTTTATCAGGCGCTCAACACGTGTTTTTGTAAAGCTTCTCTTTGGCTTTCGCGTGTGTGTGTGTGTGTGTTAGTGTGGGTGTCTGTGTCTCTGCGTGTTTTATTTATTATTTCTATATACAAATGATTGATTGCCTGCTTGGGGCTATTTATTTTAAGTAATTTTAGGTTACAATTTCGCGTACTTTTCCATCAATAATTATATTATTATAATGAAGTCAAAGTTCGTAGAAAAATTCTTGCCAACATTTTCCCCTGGTCAGTTTTATGCACAGCACACACAATCCAAGAACTGCATAAGTAATGTAGTTTAGCATTGAAGAAAAAAAAAAAAAAAAAAAAAACATGGATAAACCCCCGCATTCCAGTTTCTATATAAGCACAGGTCTCGAATTCTGCAAACTGATAAATCTTGACATTCAAATGAAATCAACCAAATTCAGTGAAATACGGAAGACTGAAGTTAACGCTCCGCAAACATCAACATTCGGAGCAAGTAAAAATCTTTAAATAGCTGATTATTCAAATATGAAAACTAAATTAAATTCACTTCCTGGCGCTGCTGATAGACAGGGTTAGATTTTAATATACATATATAAATGTACATATGTATGTATGTATATTAAGCGAATTCTGATTAATTTTTCTAAACTCAAATTGCCTTTATCTAAGCCCATATTCATAACTGATTTATTGTGCACGTACTTCAAAGCTGATTTATTTACGATTGCATTGTTTTTTTTTATGATTTTATTTGTTTATAACGTCGTGGCCGTCTTTGCTGCTGATTAATTTCCCCTTGCGATAGTCGCACTTATCCAGTGCTGTAAAAGCTCTCAAGTGGTATTTTAATTGGGCTATTTAGGGCACTCTGAAAATACAAACTGCCAACGGAATGGAATTTAACTGCAAGTATCCCCTTTTATATACATATATGTATGTACATATGTATGTAAGCGAAAAAGGTTTGTTTGCTTTGCATTTTGGTGATCCACCGAAAATAAACAGCTATTCAGCAAATTAAATTTCAATACAAATATTCCCATGCCGTATAAAAAATTTTATTTATTTACTTCAGACAGCGGAATCTTTTGAGCAGCAAAAGGAATTTCTTATGGCTCGAATTGCTTAGGCTTTGGCTAAAATCTAGCAATTCGAGAAATTAACTGTGATTCTAGGCGAAAATTCCAGACTCATGTTGATGCCAGGCGAATTGGATTAATAAACATTTAAAGAATGCCAAAAGTTCAATATGAAAGCTGATTATTATTAGTTTATTTTATTGCATTTCTTTATTTAATTATGTGGGGAATGAAGCGCAGTCCACGGGCGAGTCATGTGACTGGTGTGAAATTCGCTTTCAATGTGAGCGGAATAAAATATATGCAATAAGATTTGCATTGTGGTTTTAATGCTTGTTGTTGTTGTTGTAATTGCTTTTAGCACGTGCAACTAAGAAACTTGAAAAGCCTGAATTTCCCTAAAAGTGCAAGCAGTATAAGCTAACCTGCTGCTGCTGTCGCTGTCGCTGCTGCTGCTGCTGCTGCTGCTGCTGCTATTGGGAACCCCATGCGCTGGCTAAGGCCAAGAAGAGGCTGCACAATTAACATTTCTTTTGGTTTTGCTAGATGTGTTACACGATACCCGAGACACCCAGAGCTCACAGACGCAAGCCGGTTTTGTTTATATTTATATTTTCGTGTTGCTCTAACGAAAGCCGGCGCTGAGTCTCGAACACCGGGGGCTGCCTCTGCTGCCTCTGCTGCCTCAGCTGCTGTCTCTGCTGCTGCTGGGCGGCGTTTGCCGGGTGACACGAGCGGATTGCCATTCGCGACGCGCACCTATTTATAATCAGTTCCCAGCCATTCGGCTACAGTTGAGCGCTGCTTCTGCTTCTGCTTCTGCTGCTGCTGCTGTTTTTACCTCTGCTTCTGGCCCGATCTCGAATTCATTTCATTCCCGCATTCGACGCGGTCGCGAATAGTTTGGATTTGGCTTTTGGATATAGTTTTGCTTTGACGCCGCGGTATGCGCTGAACTGAACTGAAATTAAGTAAATTGAAGTGAAGTGAAGAGACTGCGACTGTGATTGTGACTCGCGACTGTGACAGTGAGATGAAGCCGTAGATGAAGCCAAAGGCAACGCTGATAAAAGCAAATTGGAGAGATACAAAAAGCGCAACAACTAAAGACCAAAAGACGTGAGCTTTGAGCGCCACATAAGTGCAGAGTACTACATATAGAGCTGTCTGAGTGCGCGTGTGTGCGTGTGTGTGTGTGTGTGAGTGTCAACGTCATTTGAGATGACTGCCAAAGATACGGGCCATGTGAACGGCGCCTTTAATGGCGCTGATGTGTCGGTGGACATACCCACGAATACGCTGTACCACACATCGCGCGACTGCATCGTCCAGCAGGAGGAGGAGCCGGTGATGTCCGGCTGGAAGGACTGCTGCCGCAGCACCTGGGCGAACATCTTTCGCCGCAAGACGCTGGAGAAACGCTTCCCCATACTCGTCTGGCTGCCGCAGTACAAAAAGGACTACATCTTCGGCGACATTGTGGCCGGCATCTCGGTGGCCCTGACTGTGATACCGCAGGCTCTGGCCTACGCCGGCATAGCCGGACTCGATCTGCAGTATGGACTGTACGCGTGCTTTCTGGGCTGCTTCATTTACATCTTCATTGGCTCCAGCAAGGATGTGCCCATTGGGCCGACGGCCATTTCGGCGCTGCTCTCGTTCCAAATAGCCGGCGGCAGCTGGCAGATGGCCACGCTGCTGACCTTCCTCACCGGCCTCATCGAGATACTGATGGGCATCTTCCGGCTGGGCTTCCTCATTGACTTTGTGTCGGGGCCGGTGGGCGCCGGATTTACCAGCGCCGTCTCGCTGATCATCTTCAGCTCACAGATGAAGGACCTGCTGGGCATACGCACCAGCGGCAACACCTTCCTCCAGGTGTGGATCAGCATCATCAACGACATACAGAACATCAGCTGGCCGGACTTCGGACTGGGCATCACCTGCATCGTTCTCCTGCTCAGCCTGCGCGCCCTGGCCAGCTGCAGCGTGGGACCCAAGCAGGGCAAGTCCACCTGCCAGCAGCTCCTCACGGGCATCTTCTGGACGGTGGGCACGGCGCGCAATGCGCTGCTGGTCTGTGCCACCGCCGCGCTGGGCTACTGGCTGTCCATCAGCGGCAACGAGCAGCTGGTGCGCACCGTTGGCTTTGTGCCCAAAGGACTGCCCCAGTTCCAGTCGCCGCCCTTCCACATGGACGCGGTGGTCAACGAGACGACGGGGGAGGTGCTGCAGGAGGCGCAAACCTTCTGGGATATGGTCGGCACACTGGGCTCCGGCCTCATAGTGGTGCCCATGATTGCCCTGCTGGAGACAATGGCCGTGGTGCAGGCCTTTGGTAAGTCGATGGGATTTCACTTCACACTTGATGGCTCGATAAAACCCGAAACAGCTCACTACTTATATAACAATAATAATGATCATAATATTGATATTGATAATCTGTAAATTTCCACTCACAGCCGATGGCAAGCCAACGGATGCTACCCAAGAGCTGATTGCCTCCGGCATTTGCAATGTGGCCAACTCCTTCGTGCAGGGCCTGCGCAGCAATGGTGGCGTGGCACGCGGCGCCATTCTGAATGCGAGTGGCGTGCGCACGCAGTTATCCAATTTGTATACGAGCGTCATCGTCATCATTGCGCTGCTCTACCTCACGCCCTGCTTCTACTACATACCCAAGGCGGCCCTCGCGGCCATCATCATTGCCGCAGTGCTCTTCATGGTCCAGTATCGTGTCATCAAGCCCATGTGGCACAGCAAGAGTGAGTAAAGCGAGAGAGAGAGAGAGAGAGAGGCAGATTGACTGATTGACTTTATTCTTCCTCTTCACAGAAACGGATTTGATACCCGGCCTGGGCGCATTCTTTGCCTGCCTGGTCATGCCGCTGCAGCTGGGCATTCTGGTGGGCATTGGCATTAATGTGATCTTCATTCTATACCAAGCGGCACGACCCAAGCTGCGCATCGAAACACTCAGCGTAAGTAGCCAAATTTGATACCCTACTCCTGCTGTTGCTCCTGCTCCTGCTCAGCTCTAACTAACGCGCGCTCTCTCTCTCTCTCTCTCTCTCTCTCATCTGCAGACGCCGAATGGTCAGCGTTATTTGATGCTCACGCCGGATCGCTGCCTCATCTTTCCCTCGATGGAGTTTGTGCGCAAAGTGATCAATAAGCAGGGCGTCAAGTCGACGCTGCCCGTCGTCATCGACTGCACGCACATTTATGGAGCGGACTTTACGGCTGCGAAGGTGATATCGACGATGGTCATGGATTTCGCACAGCGCCAGCAGCCGCTGTTCTTTTACAATCTGCAGCCGCGTGTGGCGCAGGTATTCGAGGGCCTCAACAAAGATCTGGTGGCTATATACGATATTAGCCAGCTGCATGCCAAGCTGGGCGACAAGACGACCTAACCTCGTTTAATGATAGATTAATTTAAGTCTCTTTTATTTATTTCAACACACACACACACAAACACACATATACCTAAACACTCGCTCAAAACTCAGCTAGATCAATTTGAATGGTTTGGCGAGGCCAGCGACTAGTTTCATTCAAAGAAAACAAAAAGCAAACATTCAAACTAAAATGAAAAGATCGAAAGAAGCCCACGCAACGTTACCAACGATCATTACCACCAACAACGACGACAACAACGACAACAACTACAACAGCAAAACAGTCCAGCCAAATAGTCAAATATTATTTTCCGTAAATTTAATTAGCATTTAAGTTGAAGCAATCTTCCATTATTTATTCGTTGGTGAATGATTTGATTTCATATTTGGCCAAATGCTGATCAAAATAACTTTGCACCTCATTGTTGTCTATCAGATTGCTACGCATAGTATTATAAATTTATATAACTATTATAAATATATATACATAAATAAAAAGCATTAACTGCTGACTAGTACTTAAATAAAAAGGCTATAAAAATTATGCGCTCAGTTTAATGTTTTTGTTTCGCTTGTCGTTGCTGTGGCGGCATTTAAACAGAAACTTTAATATCTAATCAAAAATTGGCACAGATTTAAGACTTTCCCAATAATAATTGACGCGACGTGATTTCCCATAGATTCACTGAACTGAAAATTTATAGGCGATTCGCAAAAAAAAATTCAAGGCGGTACATTATTTTCAATCAGATAAAACACACGTACCGTATATATTATATATACTTACCCACATTTATATACGTGAAAGCAATTACACAAATTCTGAAATATTTTCCAACTGTTGCATCATTAAAGTCAAAGCAAGTCTAGAACCAGTCGAGCATGCGCTCGGGTCTTATTAAAACATGCTAAATATTTCTGAATCAATTAAATCGCTGCCAATATCAATCTGAACTGTAACGGCCCTTTGTAATTGCACATTTAAGTTGCTTTGGCAACAATAAATATAGCATACTTTGGGGCAACTCCATAAATTCCCAGCTGAGCCAAGTATGCAGCTCACTCATTTTCAATGCAATCATCAACTTCGATTTCATATTTATATTAACACGATTATTTGCCAACTGGCAGGCGAAAGCACTAAAAAATACCACCTTTTTCAAATATTACCTTATTTTTAGTATTTCCTATTCATGTGAGAAAATGAAAATACCTTACTCAAAAGTAGGCATTTTTAGCACAAATTTTGACAGAAAATGAATCAGATAGAGCACACGTTTTACAGCACTGTAATTTAAAACTGCCATCTCATATAAACAAAAAATTTTAAAGTCTGAATGTGAAAATAGTTGGCTCGTCTACAGATTATTTTTATTTAAAAAAATTAAAACAAATAAATCCCTTTTTATCTCATTCGCTACGGTGAGTACCTCTAGGAGACCAGCAAGATATATGGTTAATACGATTCATTAATACACGGCCAGTCAGTTGAAAATGGGTGGAACCGGAGAGCCTAAGAATCCTAACGACAAAGAGGGCACCGGCCTCAGCTCGTTCTTTGAGCAAAAAATTGCCGAGTTGCAGTTCATTGTTTCGGAGAAGCAGCGCAATCTGCTGCGCCTGGAAGCCCAGCGCAATGAGCTCAACTCGAAAGGTAAGCAATATTAAACGAGCCATAACAGCAAATTTTCCACTACCAAAATTTACACTGCTGCTGCAGTGCGTATGCTGCGCGAGGAGCTGCAGCTGTTGCAGGAGCAGGGTAGCTATGTGGGCGAGGTGGTAAAGCCCATAGACAAGAAGAAGGTCTTGGTCAAGGTGCATCACGATGGCAAATACGTAGTCGATGTGGAGAAGAATATCGACATCAATGATGTGACTACCAATAGCCGTGTGGCACTCCGACATGATAGCTACACTCTTCACAAGATTTTGCCGAGCAAGGTGGATCCACTTGTCTCATTGATGTTGGTCGAAAAGGTGCCGGACTCCACCTACGAGATGGTGGGTGGCCTCTCCAAGCAAATTACCGAGATTAAGGAGGTGATCGAGCTGCCCATCAAGCATCCCGAGCTCTTCGATGCCCTGGGCATTGCCCAGCCCAAGGGTGTGCTGCTCTATGGACCACCTGGCACCGGCAAAACCTTGCTGGCTCGCGCGGTCGCTCATCACACGGAATGCACATTCATACGCGTCTCCGGGTCGGAGCTGGTGCAGAAATACATTGGTGAGGGCTCACGCATGGTGCGCGAGCTGTTTGTCATGGCTCGAGAGCATGCGCCATCAATCATATTCATGGACGAGATCGATTCCATTGGCTCGGCGCGTCTGGAGTCGGGCAGAGGCGCCGACTCGGAGGTGCAGCGCACAATGCTGGAGCTGCTCAACCAGCTGGACGGCTTTGAGGCATCCAAGAACATCAAGGTGATCATGGCCACCAATCGCATCGATGTGCTCGACCAGGCACTGCTCCGCCCCGGTCGCATCGATCGTAAAATTGAGTTTCCGCCACCCAGCGAGGAGGCACGCGTCGACATCCTACACATCCACTCGCGCAAAATGAATCTGACACGCGGCATCAATCTGCGCAAGATTGCCGAACTGATGCCAGGTGCATCCGGCGCCGAGGTCAAGGGCGTCTGCACCGAGGCGGGCATGTATGCGCTGCGCGAGCGCCGTGTCCACGTCACCCAGGAGGACTTCGAGATGGCCGTCTCCAAGGTGATGCAAAAGGACTCTGAACGCAATATGTCCATGAAGAAGTTCTGGAAATAATTTTCGATTAAATCAATTCGCATCATTATAAAGATTTATTTTTTGTCTTTCTTTTTTTCTAAGCAATAGTTTTACAAACAACCGCAGGAAAGCTTTTCTATAAGTATTTATATCCTCAGCGATTTATTTAAGTTCTTAATTTAAGTCCAATTAAAAAATCTTATTTTTATATATAAGAAAACTGTGCAGCTATATTTACAATTATATTGTAAATAAATTATATTATTATAAATTATTATTAAAAATTTTACTTTAACTCAAATTTGTATAGTCAGTCTAGCATGATAGTAAAAATTTAAATATTACTATATGTCTGATAATTATTCTATTATTATCTATGTCTTATTTCTACTTATATTTTATCTATTTTGTAAAATGATAATGGAGTATTAATCCAACAAATTCATTTAGATGCCTATGTGTTGGGCTGTATATATAACTCGATCTGTTGTGATTCATTAAATAAGCTTTATTTATTTTCATATTCAACCTCTAATTTACTCGCTTCCATTACATTTCACTCTAATCTCTCAATCTCTATCAGTCTCGAAATTTATTTATTTATGCCATTGCTGTTTATCATCCAAGCCGCTCTCTAATTTCTTTGTTTACGTAAAGCAAATGCCTGGCATTGAAATAAAAAAAAGGCAATATATACATGAATATGCTGATATGCTTAATTTTGGAGCCTGAGCCATTTCCTCGTCTGTGGGGTAATATCTGGCAATTGTCATCTTTAATGTGGAGTTTGGGGCTGGCGTTTAAAACGTCGCAAAGCAATTAAGGAATGCGCTGGCATCATCACGCAAGCAGCTTCAAAATTACCCAATGGTCCAGCAAGAAAGCAATGACCCGGCCATATTGTTATTGTTGCAGCTGCACTTGCAGTTGCAGTTGTTGTTGTTGCAGTTGCTACTGCTGTTGTTGTTTTTCGCTTACAAAGCGGAGCAATTTGCGTTGCATTGCAAACTCATAAAGTAAACGTTCAACGGGTTTGCACTTTCATTGTGCACGACTCGAGCGGGTCGCTGCGGTGCTGGAGGAGACGCGCCCAATTCCCCCAACCGATTCGGCAAACCACTTGGCTTATAAATGGCAGCCGCATCCAGGCGCTCGCTGCCAATTGACAACGTTTGCTTACCGGATTTACAAGCATTTCCGTTGCATGCCACACGAAAGTAAAAGCGCTTTCCACCGAGCCCGCCTTATTCGACTCGCAGCCACAACAACTGCTGGCCTTCAATCGCTGACCGCGCATTAGATACGTTTCGCCTGTGCTCCACGCAGGACGTCCTCCTCGGTTAACGCGCACGTAGCCGCAGTCGTGTAAGTGTCGGCAGCAGGGCAACGAGCCACTGCAGATTGTGGCTATCTGTCAACTTGAGTGATTACTGTGTTTTCAAATCTTGCCACCGTCCAGTTATCTGAGTGTGTGAGTGTGTGCTGCAAGGTGGTTGAGGCGGTGCTCGCCTTAAAAGTAAACTGGTTCTGCTCTCCCAATCGCTGCCAGAGCTGACTGACACACTTTAGTAGCCAAAATGGCATTCTACAATTTCTCTGATTGCATAAAAGACAAAGCTCAAGTGGAGTTGGCTTCCAGATTATTCTATGGCAACAGTTAACTGTTTGTTAATTTCTTGTGCGTAATATCAGCTGTGAATATCGAATATCGAAGGCAATATTAAGGCCATAGGTTCAACCTTTTTATACCACTTAAAAATGAGAATTTATGATTTTATGTTAGATTTTACTTGCAGGCAGAGGGAGTTTTGGCTGAGCCAATTAACTGTTTAGATTGTAGATAAAACTGCTGATGTGCTGTTCTTTCATTCAAAGCTGTATACATATGAGACTGATGGTATATAAGTTTGACTTTTGAGCTTCTACTATGCTCGACGCTTCTTCCATAGCATAAATAGATCTTCTTTATCCTTTAGTAACCAAAAACTTCAACAGTTTCTAAACAATTTCTATCTAGGAACCAGGACCAAAAGTTGTTAACTGTATTTTTGTAAAATGCTACACTAAATTATATTGCGAACAATCGATTCAAATCTAAGCTCTCTAAACCTAATATACTGGAATAAATGTCTGGTATAATTTGTTGTTTTTATAATGTACAGAAAGCTGCCATAGATCAGGCTATGATCATATCCATAAATTGGTTTGTATTGGATATATGTATGTATATATACCAACATTCTGGTATGTACTTGGATAAAAAATGCTCATTTATCTTCTAGATAGTCATTGCCAATCTTGAGTATTATGAGCTATTAAATTATTAAATATAATTAAGAAATATTATAGTAATAATATTTCTTTTTTATTTAATTTATGTTTTATTTGCGATCTGCTATAAAAATAGTTTAACATAAGCGGATGATTTAACCTCCAGAGAGCTCAATTATGCTTCATAAGTATGTTATATCATCGTAAAGTTTTAATGGTTTTGCTTATTATTAGAACACTAAAACAAATATTTTTTCATGTAATTTCCGCGTTTCTAAAATTTCTACTGCCTCGAAAAATCAGAGATGTTACGATTTGAAATCGCTTTACATATATATATTGTATTTTTACTGCTAGCTGATATAGATAGTGCAAATATTACTAACAATAATAATTATAGTAACCAGTAATAATACCCCCAATAAACACTTTACCTAGCCCAACTCACATCCGCGAAATCAATTGGCAAGATGTAAATTTTGATTTCAAGGCTAGCAAAAGGTGTTATGAAACTCTAATTTTTTTCGTGACTGAACCTCGCAGCGACGTCGCCACGTTGGGCATTGTGTTTAAATCAAAGGCTTATCTTCACTAGCTGACATTCGTTTTTGCAAAGGCTAAGACCGCCAATAAATTCACAGTTTGCCGTTGGCTGAACCGGTTGCAGTGGTTAGGAAATGTTTGAGACTCACCTTGAGGCAATCTCTGTGTACACACTCTTTGTCCTCAGCCACAATGAGCCACAGGAACAAGCGCCCACCTGCAGCACCCACAGCTTCCTGTCTGCCATGCGCTTATGTAAAGACTTTTGTTTCACATATGTATATTCACAGCTGAAACACGTTGCATAAACTGAAAAGCCCCAAGATGTCACTGATGCTGCATTTGTTGTTGTTGCTGCTGCTGTTCGGTAAGTTGTGGCCATAGACTTTCCATACAAGTGCAGCTGCTTAACTCTGCTTCCGGCTAACCAGGTGAGGTGCCAGCATTTGGACGCAAGGTGAAGCGCAAGGATGCTCATTACCATCTGAATGTGCCGCCGCCACCGCCGCCGGCGCCGCAGAAGAGCTCGGCATCCACGCACACTGTGACCGTGGAGCACGAGCTGCCGCCGTACAGCTTCGAGGCCATCAACCACGATGAGTTTGCGGCGCCGACTCATCCGCAGTACGAGAGTCCGCATTACGAGAGTCCGCACTATGAGAGCTCCGACTATGCGTCGCACAGCAGCCATAGCAGCCATAGCAGCAGTCATGCCGGCAGCAGTGGCGGCTATCTGGTGGACAATGGGCTGCGCAGCATTGCCAAGGGCTCGGCGGATCAGGCTATCTCGGCCGTGGCCAGCCAGAATGCGGCCGGCAAGCAGGCCTCATATGTGGCCAAGAGCACATTGGCCCAGGCCGCTGCTCAGGCAGCGGGCACCGCTGTGGCCGTGCTCAAGGGCAAGGAGGTGCTGCTGCACCGCCTGGAGGAGCAGAGCGTCGAGGCGCACAAGTCTGTGGAGCGAGAGTTGACCCAGCTGCAGCAGGCCAAGCGCTCCGCCAAGGCCGCCCAGTATGCCGCCCAGCAGGCCATCAATCACGTGAGCGTTCTGACCGCAGCACTCAACAATGCCCAAGCCGCCTCGGAGCTGGCGCAGAAAGCCGCCGCTGAAGCAGCTGCCGAGCTGTCCTCACAGATCGACATGGTGGCCCAGGCCAAGGGCAAGCTGGAGCAGACCGAGTCGCAGGCCTATGCAGCACGCTTGGACTACGAGGAGACACGCGAGGCGGCCGAGAAGGCGACCCTCTCCGCCCAGGAGGCGCAGCTCAATGCCAACGATGCGGCGCTGCACGCTAATGTCGAGCTCAGCGAAGCGGTTCATCTGCATGACAAAAGCGATCGCAATGCGGAGCAGTCGGCAAGCTCGAGCGGTCATAGGACACGCCCCCAGCAGGCCGCCTAACGGTTGTTTTCCACTTAGCTTAAGTTGCACTTAAATATTTATTGTCTTTGTGCGGAGTCCGAAGAGTTACTTAATAAAAGCAGCGATCACTTTTTCTAGGTTATGTCATGTGCTTTTTGAAGACCTATTTTATGGAGTTGAACCATGTGTGGAGGCTCACGAATATACGAGCTGTAATAGCGGTATCTTTTGGGGTAAGAATTATCGTCTTTTTGTGGAAAGATTTTATATGACTTGAGTGTTCTTTGTTGATATTCATTTAGCGAATAGAACATACACATGATAAATCATATGACATTTGAGCTTTCAGCTGATTGCAGTTATGCAAAGCTCGAGCTGATCTGATGGTTAGTGTGTGTAAATCACTTCATTCTATTTTATATGAATATCTTAATGATTATATATCTCCGGAAATTCAGTTTATCTCACTTACAGCTTTCACCAAGCTCTTCTTAAGTGCGGTAATTCATAATACCCTAAAAGCTTTAAGTTTTCGCTAAATTACTAATTGGCTTTAGATATAGCTTTAAAGTTTACATCGATTTAAAAGCTCATAGGCTATTACTAACTAAGAGAGACCTATGATTCTGAAAAACCCATTCTAAAATACTAAACTATACTATACTATATGAACTATACTATACAATATACTAATTCCTATTATGCCATTAGAATGGCATTCACAATAAATTAATGAACTTTAAGGTTTCCATGCGCGGTCAAAGCACTTGCTAAGAGCTTCCCATAAACTTTCCTCATTTTTGTATCTGTCTGAAAACTTCATTTTGCTTCAAAGCTCTTTTCTCATACATAAAACACACACAAGCCATATGCAACACAATTTTATTGATCTTAGCTTTACCGGAACCTCTCTTTACCAGTTTAATATTTAACATAAATTAGGCTTAGCTTTAGAGTACCATAGTGTCTTTGATGCAAGTTTGATTTTTATTGTGTCGAAAAATATAATAAATAAATAAGTAATGTATATAAGTAGTAGGTAAAACTAACCGCACAAGTCACACAAACACTTAGAATTGCACTAGATTACGTAGGTTTAAACTAGATATGATCCACTTAACGATATAGGGTAGAGACTACAACTGGGACCGCGCCTATGCCCGGGCGCTGCCAGAGGAAGGAATGATTAATGATTGGCCAGAGACGACAGACAACCCCGTTGGCTTTCGCAAGACATTGACTATGTACGGCAAATCGACCAGAGACGCTCGATCTTGAACTTGAACTTAACCTAGATCTCAGATAGCAACTAAATATGGTCTTAGCTGGGTCTAGTTGGCCAACTGCTGTTGGCTCTCACCCTCGGGCACAACGTGCTCGTGCTCGGCCTTGGGCTGCGCCGGCTGCTGCACCTCCTCCAACGAGGTCTGGGCGTTCTTCGCCTGCTCCAGGCGGCGAGAGACGCTGTCCATGGACTCGCGCAGCGTATCAATGTCCACAGCATTGTCATCCTTGTCGCCAGTCTGCTCCGTCTTCTGGCTGTTGTACTTGGAGAAGTAGGTAAGGGACTTCATTAGCTGGTAGCTCTTCGAGATGGGTATATTGGAGTCGTAGACGCTGGTGCTGGAGCTGCAGTCCACGTAGAACCACCAATTGCACTTGAGTATGGTCTGGTCGAAGAGCGTGTTCTCCGGGCACAGGAAGGACTTGCGTACCATGCCGTCATCCGTGAGAGCGCACACATGAAAGACCTGGCCGGGAAGAGTAGCAAATGAAGCGAGTTCCAGCAAGGATCAGCAACCACTTACCATGCAGCCCAGATCCGTGTCTGCGTAGAGGCCCGGAAAGTGCTTTTGCCTGGCGCAGGAGAAGCTCGTGGGTGGCAAATCCACTTTCGACTTGAAATTGTCATCGAAGTTCTTGTCGTAGCCCACCGGGTAGTACTCCTTTGGCGCATTCATGACCTGTCCAATGGGAGACATTAGAGAGTGCATCATAGTGAAGTCCGAATTCAAACCCACCTTGGACACTTTGTGCTCCGCCAGTTGCCTAGGCTTCTCCGTGGTCGTCGAGGTCGTTGTCGTTGTCTTCACTGTGGACGTGCGAATAAATTCCTCGCGCAGCTTGGCCGCCAGCATGGCGCGGTGCTCCGCCTTGAGCTGCTGCTCGCGCACATAGATGGCATGTTTGATGGTGTCCACGGTGACATTGGCGGCCGCCGCCAGCTCCTCAACGGTGACGTCCTTCAGGTCAAACTTGGGCTCCTCGAACTGCAAGTAGTTGGGATGCTTGACCAGCCCACTACGCTGCTCCGGCCGTGCCGGCTCCGGCTTGGCTGCGTTGGCAATGCGTGAAATGGACTCGGGCATGGCCTGGAAGACCGGCACGGCCACGGGCTGCGAGACAACTGGCTGCACGACCATGGCATTATCCGCATGGAATGTGCGATTGGAGTGCTGCAGGGGGACAAAGATTAAGGTGAGCGAGCGAGAAACAGCTATAGCTGACTGCTTCACTTACCGGCTTCGCATTACTGTTGACCAGCTTGTTGTTGACGCTGACGCGCGGCTGCGTCGAGTCCACGGCAATGCGACGCTGGGCAATGGCCTCGTTGCCCGCCGGCTTCGGTGGTATGGGCCGAAAGGCGGGCACGCCCATGGGCAGCGGACGCGCCTCTGTCATGAGTTGCTGTTGCCGTTGCTGTTGCTGCTGCTGCTGCAGTTGTTGTAGTTGCTGCAATTGCTGTAACTGCTGCTGCTGCAGTTGCTGCTGCGCTTGATTCTTGACCGCCGCCTGCTGCAGCAATTGCAGATTGTAGGGTCCCGGCGCTGTGGAGCGTGAACTGATGCGTTTGTCCGGCAAATTGAGCTGCTTGGGTGCAGTGGCCTGCATCAAAGGAGGCTTATTACAGTTAGCTATACACTTGGACTGCATCTAAGCACACTCACCTCCTGCTGTCGTGCCGAGGGCAGCACGCCCACCAGCTCTGGCGCCCCATTCCTGTAGCTAATGGCGCGTCGGCGATCGTTCTCCGTATTGCCCAGCGACTCCCTGAAGCCCAGCTCATCGCCCAAACTCAGACCTGCAAGCAGAACACGGATTAGACTAGACTCGACCCACAGCAAGCCGTCGCGACACCTCATCAATCAGAGCCCAAACAAGCCGATAATTAATCGCTTTTGTTTGGCTCTTCTTTTGTCTTTAGAGCAGTAACTATTGTGTGCATTGTCTCGTATGTACAGGTAAAAGGTGTATGCGAGTTGGCCAATCAACAGCTCAGCTGGTCAATGCTAATGCTACGGATATTGAACCGCAGCTGCTACACTCTAAAACGCAGCTCGACTCGGCATTGGCATTGCCATTGGCATTGGCATTAATTCATTGATGACTTAAATGCCGCAAATTTGTTTGTTAATACAAATTCTGTTCGCTCCACTTGAGGTTTATCTACATACAGCTAAACTGATTATATATACAGCTTATTTGTTATATTAAATATAATATTCAATAGATAGATAATAGTTGGTTAGGGATCTCTGTTCCAATTTTTTTTCTTATCAAGTGGATTTACCTAAACCGAAATGCGCCTTGACGCCACCCAAGTTTCGCACACGAAACAGTCCAGACTTTTTGAAGTTACAATCGAGTGTGAAACCGAAATCGGACATAAAAACGCACGTCCCGCAAGCCAATCCTATAAGTAAATAGAAAAGCAAACACAGAATAGGATAGTTCTTCAATATGATACAAAAGGTATTCGGTTAGTATATAAAGCGTGGGATTAGCATGTGAATTGGATATGAAATATAAGTTTAATGAAATTAATTTTCAATAAATATATATAAATATATATATAGTATGTATATGCATATATGTATGTACAAAGAAACACCATTATATCACATTAGTCTTAGACATTCGGTTACGTAGAGAAACATGCTTCTGACCTGCCTTAAAATGGTTTTCGTTTTTGGGTTGGGCTATCCCATTATACAGATCTTGGCATAGGCCGTGACCGCCCGTGGCATAGTTTTTTGCACAGGCTTATAAATGTAGATATGTCTTTCAAAAGAAGCCCGCATCAAATTTAAAATGCGTTGGCTTCAAATTTTTGATTGATGCTTCCACATCTCGCAAAGGGTAAAAAGCCACAGCAGCTGCTCTCATGTATATCAAAACTTATTGAAATTGAACAAAGGCTTTTAAACACTTAAACGTTGTGCGTACGCATTGAAGCGGAAACCTTTAAAATGTGTTTATTTTTTCTGTTTCCCATTAAAGAGAGCTTAAGGTATAAAGATCAGATGCCAATGGGTCAGAGCTTGGCTAATGATGCCGTGACCGAGACAATTTCGACATAAAACCAGAAGAATTTTAAAGGTGTATTTGTAAGCCACTTCCTTATGGAGCAAAGACTCTCAAAATAACTCAAAATAGCAAATAGCAAATTAGGAAAAAAGAGCTCAAAACGAAGTCAAAGCTTAAACACTTATGTGCTGTGAGTACGCACTTAAAAGATTACATATGTGTGTGTGTGTGTTTATTGTATGTTAGCTAATATACCTAAACAACAATAACGAGTCAAATTGCAACGTCTGGAGTTCAAATTAAATTGTTAGCATGTCAAGTGGGACATGAAATCTGTCTATGCTCTGAGCCCTCTAAGTGGGTTCTTACCAAATGTCAATCATAACATATGAATAGAGAATAGAGTAGAGAGAAAAGAGTAGAGTAGATTAAATTAGAGTAAGGTCTCTCTTAGGTAGAGTAGTGCAGTAAAGTGTAGAGTAGAGTCGTGCAGAGCAGTGTAGAGTAGTGCAGAGTAGTGCAGTAAAGTGTAGAGTATCACAGAGCTGTGCAAATTAGTGTAGAGTAGAGTCGTGCAGAGTAGAGCAGAGTAGAGTAAAATAGAGTAAACTAGAGTAGAGTAGAGTCGAGTAGAGTCGAGCAGACTAGAGTAGAGTAAAATAGAGTAAACTAGAGTAGAGCTGAGTATAATAGAATAGAGTAACCTAGAGTAGCGCCGGGTATACGAACCTAGACTAGAGCAGTGTAATTTCATCCACATATAATATGCGCAGCTGAAGCTCAAACTAATTGCTCGAACATCGATCACATATGCGATACAGGCACATGGCATTC